TGAGTGCAATATTTGATTATTAAATCAATTGCTTTGTCTTCGAGAGGAAAAAGGTTTTTCAGATCAATGGATGAAATATTTGTGCATTTCTTGAGAATTGTCTCAAATCGTCTCCAATTATCTTCAGATAAAGCCATTGATTTGTTGCCAATTATCTCCGTTTGTCTCTTATAGACAACTCTTCGCCACTGTTTTGAAATGCATTCAAATCTGAATTTGTCTTCGAGTGAGAGATAAGACAACAACTCTTCGCACAAATCATCACCGAATCGATCCAAAGAGTCCGAAGAATACATTTCACACATTTTTGATGACAAAATCAATTCATAACTCAATTAAAACTCAATTAAAACTCAATTCTTGTGATAAAAAGTAATGCAAAAAAGCATTGATTTGTTGAATGAAGTGATGATTGGATTGAATGCCAACTCTTTCTTCACTTTCTCTATATTTCACACGTTTTCACAGTTTTTTCCATAAATGCTGTCATTTTTATTGAGTTAATAATATTGAACACTATTTTTTTTAAACTATTCAATTGTTATTTATTTTATAAAAACATAATTATTTTAATCATAATATAAAACTATTGATTTAATACACATAAGAATTTCATAATTGATTATAAATTAATAAATTAGTTATAAATAATATTTAATTAATTATCACATAAAAAGAGGTTATAATCAAACAATTTTGTGAAAATAAAACATATATTAATTACAATAAAACTTCAAATTCTATAGAATTTAATGAAACATATTTTGGGACAATTAGTGATCAGATTTTTGACAACTCTTTTACTAATGTTTCGGTTCCAGTCTTTAGTATTGCCGGTGAGAGTAATGCCACGGATTTGTCTCAATCCAGACAATGATATCAACGACTTGTCGCTCATATTAACTAACTTTATGTCCAAATACTGAAGATTCGGTAAATTGTGGTCAATATTAGCGAAGAATGTGTCGGTAAAAAAATTTACCCCTAAATCTAAATGAGTTAATCGTTTCAAAGGCGCCAATGAATGGCTGGTCAGCGACAGTCCCGCGACACTCAGTCCCGACACTTGAAGTCTCTTTAATGCCATAAAGTGTTTAGTAATCGTATGAATCAATTCTTGTGTCCATTTCTCGGCATTAATGCTAAGACTCTTCAGACGCCGACAATTGACACCAATTTTGATCAACAATGGGATCAACTGTTGCGATGAAACCGACCGGAGTTGGAGTTTAAGGCTAATCAATGACTGCATTCGCGGCAAAATATACATCAATTTAGCGATCAATTGGTCCATAAATTCTTTGTCATACGACCAAACAGTCTTCAATACAATTGTCTTCATTTGATGCCCGTATTTGTCCGCAAACACATCCAATGCCTGCATATTGAGTGCAAAAGTGTCCACATCTAAGACAATACTATTGAGTCGTTTGAACGGCACTTGCATTTCGGTCACCGATTGTAAGGTTAGTATGGATTGGGAATAGCCTTCAAATGACTGCAAATTCACACATATTTCCAGCCATTTCTCGATTGACTTCTTGTCCACCCATTTATTGAATGACAAAACTTTAATTGATTTCAATTGTGGACCAAATGTAGTGAAAAACTTATCAATTGTTTGGACACTAATGTACTCGAAGTTTACGCAAACAGCTGTCAAATGAGTGAAATATTTAATTATTAAATCAATTATAATGTCTTCAAAATATGTCAAATGAATGGATGAAATATTTGGACACTTCTTGACAATTGTCTCAAATGGACTCCAATTGTATTCATTTCTCTTGAATTCATAGCCAAATGTGGACTCAATTTGTCTCATGAATGACACGAGTGTTGACTGAAAAGTGTTTAGACATCTCTTTGGGATCAATCTCTTGGCCGAAAAGTCTTCAAACGTTAACTTCTTTTGACTCGTGAAGACGACTCTTCGCCACTGTTTTGTTAAGTTTTGATTAGTGTTTAAAAATGTAAACAAAGTTTTGTTTTCA